GAGAAGGACTTGGCTTCACTTGGCGTTTCCAATTGGCGTCAGTTGGCACAGAGGAGAAACGACTGGCGTGCTTTGCTGAACTCGGCCAAAATCGCTTAGGCGGTTACAGCGCCAAAAAAGAAGAAGAAGAAGAAGAGAAAAAAAGGAAGTTTGCTTACATTAAATTTTCCTTTTCCTCGTTTTCAGTGATAGCCAAGTCGGTCCGAAATTAGAACAATTTCGTGAATTGAAGCTCTTGGTTAAATACGGTTGTTGCTTCATACCAATTCGTAGTTGCCGAACAGTGTTGCTATATAGTGTTTTAATCTAGTAGTCAAAGTTCAAAAGGGACATATTATATATAAAAAAAGTAATTTTGCTGCCTTTTCTCACATTAGGCGATTTCTTACTGCTGAGCTTTAATATCAAATCTTTTAAGGTCTACAGATTCTACATCCGAGCCTTCGCTAGGGATATAAAGAACGAGCTCAGTATCGATTCTTGACTTCGGAATCGACTTTCAGGTTTTCGATTCTTAGAGTCGATTAATTACCTCTGAAAGTCGATTTTATGACTAAAATTGTCTTTTTGAAAATTTATTCTTTTAAGTAATGAACATTAAATTAGGTGATAATTAAAAAAAAAATTCTTTCATTTTCAGGCAGGTTCTGCAGTTCACTTCCGAGTGAATTTCAATTAAATCCGCTTTGTATTCAAATTGGCAGGGGTTGAATATTCGCTCGGAAGTGAATTGCGGAACATGCCTGATTAATTGGGTTTGAACTTTAAAATTAAGTATTAAACTAAAATAGTTAGGAAAACAACATTTGTCCATTTTGTTGAATAGCATTATATCTTCTTCCTCGTTAATACTTGCTAAATTGGTCGGTGCTTCCAGTGCTTCTCTTCTTTCAACTTACCAAGTTCACCTAAACCGGAAAAATAAAATGAAAGGGTACATTAAATTATAAAAAAACTAATTAACTAGTAAATATTTAAACACAAAAAATAATTGAACTTCTTTAAATGCATATCTGTCAAATCAGAATCGATATGTTGTTGTTATTGGAGTTAACTTACCACGTATTACTAGGAGCAGCTACTCTCGAATACTTTGAAATCCAATCCTTTTTTAAAGAGGATTAAAAATTGTCGCGCAAGATATAACTGTACAGACTCAATATTTCCATATTTAAATTCTATTTCTTGTGAGAGCTTTTTTTTTAATTGTCGTCCAATTGAATTATCTGGAGCCATACCTTGAATTTATGAATATATAATTTATTAAGGCAATAATTACAATTTAAAGTTTTATAGTAGTTTGTCATGTTAAGCCCACAATTTAAAGGATACATTTACTCAATGCAACATTTTTTTCAGAACAAACTTCACGGGCAACTCGCACAAGATATTTCAAAACGTCTCGTACATCAATCAACGCATCAACATCTTCTCCAGTAATCATATTAGGTGGTTTAGCTCTAGAAGTTGTATCTATGTATCTTCACTTGAAGAAGTACTTTACTGACTTGGTCCGCTAGTACGACAGTAGGTCAATCATCTCGTAGCATGAATTCACCTAGTTTTTCTTCCGAATGAATTTAAGACGAGAATTTTCATGCAAATCCTTTTGAAAAGATATTAAATCGTAGTAGCTATAATTTTCTTGACTTTTGCCAACAGTCCTCGCAAAGTTGATTGCTCATTAGTGTTATCTACGTTTAGGTCATCAAAGCTATCAATACCATCATCTTCACCTATTGAGGTATTTCAATTATTTTATTTTCAGATTCAAACGGATGGGATAATATTTATTTCGACAAGTCGCTGGCCAATATTATGAATAACATGTCCGAAACATGATTGTGTTTTCATTCGCCAAATTCACTTTGTATGGCCCCTTTAATATTAGAACCCCCGTCTGGAACGAAAGCTGCGATTTTATTATCATCCAGACCCCAGTCATTGTACTCACCTACCACCTATAATATAGCATAAATAAGAATATATGCTGTATAAAAGTATTAATTTTTACCTGAGAAAGAACTGGCGTTATTTATACACCGATCCATAGGTCCCTGGAAATTGGGTTCAAATGTTATAGGTGATTGACGACATGAAGTGTTTGTAGTTTCTAAAGAAACTGGAGAGAAAGGTGATTCCTTAGCCATTAAAGCCTAAAAAGAAATTGGATTAAGGAAATATAAGAGAAAAGTTAATAATTAAAAAAGTTTAGTAAACTTTTAAATTTACCTTTTTAGATTGAATGTCTGAATTATCTATAATTATAATTGGCAATCTCGGAAGTAGTTGGCTCTCTGTTTTTCCTCAACAATGATTTGATTTAACTAACGACATGCCAACTCAAGATAGTGGCGTGGTTGTTATAGCCAAGTATAAATTTGTCCCAACTAAAAGGCTCAAGTGAATTGCAGACCCTCACAAACTAAATATTTATTTCCTCATACCCACTGTACCGTTTGATTACTATAGCTAAGCATTTTCTCGGCCTGCATGCGGGATATACACATGTATGTACATTTTCCGCTCACACATTTTTCTACGTGTTTGGCCGAGCTTCTCCTCCAATTTGTAGTGCGGGTATTGATATTGATACACAATTGGAAGCCATGCAATTCTACAAGCTTTTCATGGCAGAAATATACTCCGATCTTTGTCATCGCCTAGCGAGAAAAATGTATTTGTTTTATGTTTCTGGGAAAAGGAATGGGATCCTGGCCCTACCGAAAGTCAGCACGCACCCCTTGCCACTACCTTCGGAGCATATATAATTCATTAAATATTGCCTAGTACCTAGAGGGTGGTTAGCGGCCTTTTAGCTGAAAACCAGTCTATTTTTATTGCCGAAATTTAGAGCTGCTTCAAAACTGTGACCGATGTACGTAAACTTGTTTTATAGTGAGCAAATAATTCGTTTTCCGCACGCTAACTTGGTACTAAAGAAGTTGTGTCCAACATAAGATTATGGTGAGCATTAATCCAGTCCATGTATGTAAATACACATGCACATACTACACATATACTCTCGTACTTTTAATGCGCTACTTCATTGATACAAAAGGAATCGCTTACCAAAGTAAGTAAAGCTTTTGCTGGGTAGATACACTAAACCAAAAACATAAGTACATGTATATGTGTGTATGCCCTATTCACAAAAAAAAAAAA